CCCCCCCCACGAAAATTCGATTTAAAAATTCACAAACCTGCGGAAAAATGCCAGTTTGGTCACTTTAATTACCTTGACGTGCGTCTGATTTCACCATGCTTATCTCTGTGAATATGCATACCGTCTTTTTCTTTTTTTTTCTTTCCTTAATGAGCAAGGTCCCAAAATCCTGCCTGCCTCCTCAATGAAGTAAAATGGTAAAGTGAAACATTTACAACAAAACACGTTTTTTTGTCTACTTTCTTTACTTTTTGTGACCTCTTTTACGACGAGGTGTCGTGGGAGAATCATTTGTCGAACGAAGGCCAGGCGTGTTGCTTGTTGGATTGTCACTTTGTTTCTTTGGAGCGTCTCTTTGACTCTATCGTTTCATTTTTTCCCTTGGCATTGGTCTTCCTTTTGCCTTGAAGCCATCGAAATGCATACTGTAGGCCTTTGAAGCTGGCTGTTGTGGCCCCATTCTCATTACAGCCCACACCGCCTTATTTTTTGTCTTTCGATGTATTTTATGCTTGATTCAACGCCCACTTAATGTCTGATGTCTTCGTTTCTTGTGGTCTTTCGATGTATATCATGCTCGATTCGACTCCAAATTAATATTTGATGTCTTCGTATCTTTGTCTTTTCCCTCTTGTTTCAGGCTGTAGAAAGACAGAACCTCCTGGCCGCCCGCACCGACGCTCACGCCGCGACAGAGCTTACCCAAACCGCCACTGTGACGTCACTGGAGGCTCTGAATGATGTGGTCCAGGGGACAGGGCTCACAACTGTGTCACTGAGTGGACTCCAGCAGCAGTTGGACGACTTGATCAGGGACTCTTTGGTAATTTCTTTCTTTCTTTCTTTCTTTCTTTCTTTCTTTCTTTCTTTCTTTATTATCATCATCATTGCTTTTATCCCCCTGGGTCGGGGTATAGGCCACGAACAAATACTTTACACTTTTTCCTATCCTAGGTTAGCCGCTTCATGTTATTCCATGTCTTCCCACTTTTCTGAACATCGATTTCTGTGTCTCTTTGCCATGCACCGTGGCAAGACACAGCCTAAGATGGAATCTCCAGGGAAGCGGGGTTGGGTGAGGGAAGAGAAGAAAGCTGAGATCCACCTGAGATCGAGATCTTGAAGCAGTTATCAGGCAATATGTGGGGCACAGCTCGCTTGAGTTAGAGAAAATTACCCTATACGAAGACAGGTCGGAAGCATTTCTTTTGTGAAATGGTGAGGCCTCTTTCAACTCTTTTAGGTTATTTAAGCGGCGGAACCTCAGAGTCAAACGTCCGTGTCCGAAAGGATTGAGCCAGGTGTCTTTCCCAAACACACAACGTCAGACCTAGCTGAGGCTCGAACCCCCGAACCCACAATATCGCGATTACGAGTCCGGTAGCCCAACCTTAGGCCACGGACGCTACTTCTCTCTTGAGTGAAAGAGGCAAATGGGTCGGGAAGGGAGAATGGGGTCTGGATGTCAAAGGTAGGATCAAACCAGGAAGACGGGATAGTGCATAAAAATTGCCAAATTTGACCTCTGATCCCATCTGGGAGAACGGAGTTTGTACAGTTCTTGCCGATGGTGTGCTACTACGGGAGCAAAACTGGAGAGTGTGCGAGTTTTGTTTGTTTGTAT